GCGCTGTCTCCTGGCATGGCTGCTCCAGACCCATCGCCATTTTGTGAATCTTAACATAGTAATTTTAAATTTCTGTTTCGCTGTAAGTTTTTACTTTTGTTTAGGTTCAAAGGATTCATTGGTAAAAGAAACCACTCATCACATTAATAAGCCAGTTTATGGTATTTATTAAGATACAGCAATAAGCAAGTAAGCAAAGAAAGCAAGATTATGCAGGCATATTTTAAAAAAAGAAGAAGAAAAAAGTATTAAACAGTGTTTACATCACCAAATTGGGGCAACACTTACATCCAGATCTAAGCAGTGCTGGGAAATCCTGTGAACAGCGATCTGGCGTCCCAGTTGGGATTGTCCCGGGCAGTGCGTCCACTCCACCGGTGAGACTTCAGAGAGTGGTTTGGGGAAATCCTGCTTATATCACCCAGACTGATAATATTAGTCTGCATACAAACATGCAGCTGTGGTTATTTTATTAACACTTGGATCTTTTCTCACAAGTCTTCAGGATATTCTTTGGCCCTGGGAACTGGCCAGGTTCTCAAGGTCCAAGAAGCTCCAGGACTTACTTTCCTTATTATCTGATGCTTACCAAGCACCTATCCTTTAGGTCTGCACACAGTTTCTGAGAGTCTGGCACATAGCCTATGCAGGGTCATTCTTTGGTCAGAGGCCTAGCAATGCCTCTGAAGCCTGACTATAAATCTTAATTTTCCCCAAAATTACCTATCTGCTAATTGCAAAATTTCTGTCATACCTGAGTCTGGTTCTGATGCTTGTTTCATCTTTTCATATTTTCAGCATGCCTTGTAATTTTTTGTTGAAAGCCAGATATTATGTATCAGGCTTTTAATGTGAGGGTTTATGTTAACTTGGCTAGGAGCTGGGCTGTACTTAATGTTTGCTGTAGCTGTAGGTGCCAGAGGCTTCAGTTCTCCTGTGGTCTTTTTCCCCCTTCCGCAGTGTCTTTGAGTTTCCCTTTTAAAACAGAGTCAGTGACTTACTGCTCTCTCAGTTGTATACTCCTGTTGTTATACTGGAGCCCTGGGCCATGACCTTCAGAGTGTTTCTAGCCTTTCCCCCCCCCCCCATCTTAGGTGAGACAGGAAGGCTAGAGGGGGCTAGAGTTGGCTAATTGTCCTTCTCCCAGGTTGGATAAGGCTCTGGCAAAGTCTTTTTCCTTAGGAGTATCCTTAGGAGTTATGGAGAATGTTCTGGGTATATTTTTAAATGATTACTTTCCCCCTCCCCCTGCCCAAAAGAGGAGGGAATTTTTCTTGGATCTTCACTGTGAGATCCTTGTGGGGTTCCTGGAGGTAAAACCCATGAAAGTGTGGTAGCTTCCATAAGACAAGGCCCCGAGGAGTTTTCTGCTCTCAAGCTAGTCCACACTCATCCTTTAGCAATTTGTCAAAGTTACTGCTTAAGTGCTTCTACCAGTTTATGATGATAGCAGCCTGAGCTTAGGGTAATTTGGCCTTGACTGTGATTCTCTGAATCTTTCTGTCTCTCCACTTTTCAGTGTGGCAATTTGCTTTGTCACCTCAGTTTCTTAGAAAAGTTGTGGAATTTCAGTTTGTTCAGCTTTTATTCTTGTTATAAGGATGGGAGTGATGACTTTCAAGGTCTTTATGTGTCAAAGGGGAGCTGGAAGTCAACAGTGGCTTTTGAAAAAGGTGGTTTATTTTTCTTTTCCCGAATGTAGCCAGCCCAGGGCAGGTATGGCAATTCTGAAATCATCGGGGACCCAGGATCCTTTTGTCACTCTGCTGTCTTCAATATGTAGCTTCCACCTTATGTTTGGAAATGGCTTCTCCATCTCCAACCGTGATATTTCAGCCATTCTGCAGAAAGTATAAAGGGGATCTGGAGAGAAGGACACAATTGTTTTCTTTAAGACACGCTTTTTATTTAAGGATACTTCCTGAAAGTTGCTCTTGCCACTTTTGATTATATTTAGAACTACTAGATCCTAAGTTCACGTGCTACACCTGGCCTCTGTGGAGGTTGGGCTGTGTAGCTTCAACCTATGTCATGACCAACCAAAAATGTGTAGAATGGAAATTAGGTAGCAATTAACAGTCTCTACCACAACAGTGTTCCAAGGATTTTCTCAGGTTCTGAAAGGTGTCTATGACACAAAATAGTTAAAGAAACTCTGCTTTACAAAATTGCTTTGAGAGTCAGGGTCATAGCATGTCAGCACCTTGATGGCACTGGCACCAGCATACCCAGAATATTTAGCATCATCAGAATCCCATTCAGTGCACTAACCCTTCCTGAAGGCTTGTCATGTGTCAGATATTGGGCTGATAAGAAGCTATTCCCTACCCTCAAGGAGTTCCTAGTCTGGTATTATAAATCAGCAGGTCTCCAGCTCATGGCTCTGCATGGTTACAGCATTACCTATACCCCAGAGTCCCCTTCTTTTAAAGAAGTGGGCATCCTGTGTTTTTTGTCTTGTCTGGCCACAGTAGCAGTGATGCATCAGTTTGTAGTTTGGGAGAGGCCAGGTAGTATAAGCTCTGGGAGAAAGAAGGGTGGTTGTGTGCTGAGCCCAACTCTGTATGACTTCTTTTCCCTGGCAGCTTACCCAGCTGGCAGATTGTTTCCAGGGCAGGCCATGGTGAAAGTTAACGAAGAGAGACATATTGTGTGTAAGTCAAGTGGGTTCTACCCAGAAGCCGTTAACATAATGCGGGAAAATGGACACTGAAGGTTCCTCATTACCTAAAAATTTCTGAGGGCGTCATCACTGATCCCACCAACAAGAATGAGGATGACATGTTTAATGTCACTGGCTCCTTGAAGCTGAAGCCTTCTCTGGAAGACAGTGGGGCCATCTACCAGTGTGTGGTACGGCACATATCCTNTTCAGTTTGTTCAGCTTTTATTCTTGTTATAAGGATGGGAGTGATGACTTTCAAGGTCTTTATGTGTCAAAGGGGAACTGGAAGTCAACAGTGGCTTTTGAAAAAGGTGGTTTATTTTTCTTTTCCCGAATGTAGCCAGCCCAGGGCAGGTATGGCAATTCTGAAATCATCGGGGACCCAGGATCCTTTTGTCACTCTGCTGTCTTCAATATGTAGCTTCCACCTTATGTTTGGAAATGGCTTCTCCATCTCCAACCGTGATATTTCAGCCATTCTGCAGAAAGTATAAAGGGGATCTGGAGAGAAGGACACAATTGTTTTCTTTAAGACACGCTTTTTATTTAAGGATACTTCCTGAAAGTTGCTCTTGCCACTTTTGATTATATTTAGAACTACTAGATCCTAAGTTCACGTGCTACACCTGGCCTCTGTGGAGGTTGGGCTGTGTAGCTTCAACCTATGTCATGACCAACCAAAAATGTGTAGAATGGAAATTAGGTAGCAATTAACAGTCTCTACCACAACAGTGTTCCAAGGATTTTCTCAGGTTCTGAAAGGTGTCTATGACACAAAATAGTTAAAGAAACTCTGCTTTACAAAATTGCTTTGAGAGTCAGGGTCATAGCATGTCAGCACCTTGATGGCACTGGCACCAGCATACCCAGAATATTTAGCATCATCAGAATCCCATTCAGTGCACTAACCCTTCCTGAAGGCTTGTCATGTGTCAGATATTGGGCTGATAAGAAGCTATTCCCTACCCTCAAGGAGTTCCTAGTCTGGTATTATAAATCAGCAGGTCTCCAGCTCATGGCTCTGCATGGTTACAGCATTACCTATACCCCAGAGTCCCCTTCTTTTAAAGAAGTGGGCATCCTGTGTTTTTTGTCTTGTCTGGCCACAGTAGCAGTGATGCATCAGTTTGTAGTTTGGGAGAGGCCAGGTAGTATAAGCTCTGGGAGAAAGAAGGGTGGTTGTGTGCTGAGCCCAACTCTGTATGACTTCTTTTCCCTGGCAGCTTACCCAGCTGGCAGATTGTTTCCAGGGCAGGCCATGGTGAAAGTTAACGAAGAGAGACATATTGTGTGTAAGTCAAGTGGGTTCTACCCAAAAGCCGTTAACATAATGCGGGAAAATGGACACTGAATGTTCCTCATTACCTAAAAATTTCTGAGGGCGTCATCACTGATCCCACCAACAAGAATGAGGATGACATGTTTAATGTCACTGGCTCCTTGAAACTGAAGCCTTCTCTGGAAGACAGTGGGGCCATCTACCAGTGTGTGGTACGGCACATATCCTTGAAGCCGTTAACATAATGCGGGAAAATGGACACTGAAGGTTCCTCATTACCTAAAAATTTCTGAGGGCGTCATCACTGATCCCACCAACAAGAATGAGGATGACATGTTTAATGTCACTGGCTCCTTGAAGCTGAAGCCTTCTCTGGAAGACAGTGGGGCCATCTACCAGTGTGTGGTACGGCACATATCCTTGTCCACCTCTCTGAGGTTCACCTGCACCCTGACTGTGAGAGGTAAGAGTCTTTCTGGACATTTCCCCTACTCTTCAACTTGAGGACATGTAACATGAGAATTTGGTTCCCAGGCAGTCCAGGGTCTTCGCTGGGGAAGGAGAGAAAGCTTAGACTGGAGGGGCCAAGCTGTGGTGTGTTCTGTCTTAGTCCCAGAGTCAGCAGTCTAGATGAGGTCCCTGCACCAGGGCAGATGGTCTGGTAGGTAGAGAGTGGTGGTAGTAGTCGTCAGGAGGAAACAGAGCTACTTGTCAGCTCATGGAAGCTTCGGGTTCTGGATGGTCCATATGGCACAGAGAGGGAAGATTGCCAGCTGCTAGGGGAATGGAGACAGGATCACGTCCATATCCTCTGAGGGTATCAGCCCTGCCAGCAGCCCTTCTAGTCAGGCTCCAGGTCCACTGTAAATGTTAACCGGTGGAGACTGAATCAGTAGTCCTGTCTTACGGACTGTGTCCCAAGATGGGGAGGCCATAGTAGGGTGCTCCTGCAGATGCCCAGGGCTTTCCCAGGCACAGAGGATCCTCAGAACTACACAACTCACTGCAGAACCTCTCCTGCTGGTGGGGTGGGTTTTTTTTTTTTTTTTTTGAACTCATATCCTGGTTGCCCTGGTCATGGCTCTGTTCTTGGGTGGGGATGACCCTGCTGGCAAAATGCATCTTCCTGGAGCTAAGAGGAGTAAGGATGGCAAAGACTAACTAATGGGCCCTTAGGAATTTGGTCTGGGCATGCCAGATAGGTCCTGGGATGGTCCTGGAGGGAGAGCGGAATTGTTCTTGGAAGTAAGGTCAAGGGGTGTGTATGGGTGGTGTGTGCAGGTTATGTGTGGGGCATGGGGAGTATGAAATATGCTTCTGTGTATGGTATGAGGGGTTTGTCTGGATGGTATGTACAGAATTGATATAAGATGGTGGAGTAGTTTGGGAGCTTTGAGGATGTATGTGTCATGTGTATGTGGTATGTGGTGTGTGATCTTTTTTCTGGCAAGTGCTAAGCACACTATTTAATGTGTGGAGATGTGTGAGGTAGGAATGGAAATGCTAAGACATGTGGCTGGGATTTGGTAGTTAGATGTGTGACAGGGATGATGACACAAAACCACACAGATCCAGCAGCAGTTGTGTGGTCTCTCAGGCCCTTGTTGGTAGGTTTCCTCTTAACATTCTTCTCTTTTTCTCTGCAGAACCTGAGAAAACAGATTACTCATGGATTTATTTTTTACTCATCGATTTTGGACTGATTTTATTAATTGTTTTTCTTCTTTGGAAAAGGTAAGGGGCTCCAAAGAAATGTTTAGCCCTGTGTCTTGGAGTTGGCTCCAGGAGTTCAGATATCATAGCCAGTGGATGCTGTTGGGAGTTCTCAGGATTGATGCTGGGTTATTGTAAGTGTGGTGTGTGTTTGTGGTGTGTGGCTTTTTCTGGTATTGTGTTGGGGAAGAACTTTCCCGTCTGATCTCCATGTGGTGTTTTGTGACTCTGGGAAGATGTATGCAAAGATTCTCCATACTGTACAAGTCACACTGTGAATTGAATCTGACCTTATTAGTTCAGACCAGGCCTTTGAGCTGTGTGTGAGCTGATTTGTTGTTCTCAAAGACATAGAAACCATGGCTCAGAGAGGGGAATTCGTTCCCCCAATTGCTCGTATTTTGTTAATACCTTGGTAGAATAACTTACCACCAGATTTCACTGGTTCAACCAAGAATTTATAACCCTCACTAGATATTTCTAAACTAAAACATGTTTGTCCCTGACTTTGGTCCCAATAGCAAATGAAACAGTTCAAGCTTTAGAGGCCCGAGAGACCAGTGTAAATGTGTTGGTTAAAATGGCCCTAGATAATAAAATTGCCCTCAATTATTTATGGGCCTGCCAAAGTGAAATCTGTGCAATAGCTAATACACCTCTTTGTAAATGCTGTGGGAAAAGTAGAATAATCAATTAGTCAAGAGAAAAAGCTTTTTATCCAAATTTGTCTAAGTAATTCATGCATCTTACTTTCCTGGTTGGGTCTAGGCCAACCAGAACACTGGATGTAAACTGGTTTTCAAATGTTTCTTGTGATATTTATCATATTTCTTGCCTTTCTCTGGCTCTGGTATCCAGTTGCTAACATGATAACCCAATATCCAACAATAATACTTACTGAAAAAGAAACCAAAGCCTTTATGATTAGCCTGGATCCTGTGGTAGTTTGCAAAGATGGCTCCAATTCTTCACCCTTCTGTGTCCATGTCTGTTGCCACATCACTTTCAAGTGCCCTTTGATCACGGACTGTCCCTTGATGTTGGGCTCAGTCATGTGACTTGCTTCAGCCAATATAGTGAGACGGAAGTGGAGGCATGCCACTTCCTAGCCTAAGCCTTAAAAGGCCTTGTGTGTTTTTATTTGCTTTCTCTGTGCTTCTGACATTACTGAGAGAAGGACACATCCAGGGAGCCTGCTGGAGGATGAGAGACACAGGAAGCAGAGCCAAGTCATCCTAGTTGCTCTAGTGGAGGCCAGCCTAGATCAGATGACAGTCACCCACTTCCACATGAGCAAATCTAGCTGAGATCAGCAGAGCTGACAGAGCCAATTCTCAAATTCGAGACAGATGTTTATTTTTAAAAAGCCACTGTGTTAGACTGGCTTTTTACACAGCAAAGCCCTACTGATATAGCTCCTCAGAAGCTGCACCTCAACGAGCAGGAGTGCGGTAGCTGAGGAGATGTGCTGCTGAGACCCTCCACGAGAGAGCCTGCATGGGGAGTGCAGTCAGCTGACGTGCCCCAGATGCAGCTCCTCAGGGGTCTGCTGTCATGTTTGAGCTGAGGCCAGGGTCTCCCTGGACAGCTCCAGCCAGTGACTGAGCAAGGCAGGAGCTCCCTGTTGGGGCGACTGAGACTTTCTCAGAGTTGTACTGTAGCCTGAGGCTTCTCCTACTCAATCCTGCCTCATTCCTCCTGCCTCTCCCCTCACAGTCAGCCTGCATTGTGGTCACAAGGCTCTCCCCTCCTACTCCCTCTCCCCTTTATCTTGCATAGGAATGACCTCAAATAACTCTTGTCATTCTAACTTCATCTAGAAAGCTGCTTTGCAGAAGACCCAAACCAACGCAAGGAGGGACTGAAGAATTATTATGAGGAAGATAATGCATTCCTGGCTTATTCAAGGTGGAGGAACCATCCAAAGGATGTTGGCAGTTCTTACACAGAGACAGACAGCAGAGACCACAAGGTTTCTCAGAGAATGCATAAACAGGTGGAATGACTTTTCCTGATGACCCTGCTCAAGAGCCAACTGTTCAAGCTGCCCTCCTTGAGGAAGAGTGATTTTCATTCTACTTCCAAGATGGATGGGAAACCAAGGACACAGTAGGAATTTAACAAAAACGAAAATCTCAGTCAGAACAGTATTGCATTTACTTCTCTCTGGGTTACCCTGAAGTTATACCCCCTCCCCAGTAATGATGGAATTATGAGAAAAACTGGACTTGATCCGGTGAAAGTAAGGAGTGAACAGAGGCAGGGCTACCAAAAGTCTGGTTTGCTTCAGCTTGAGTGCTGATGGTCTGGGGAGGAGGAGTTTGGGGTATATTTGCGCTGCAAAGAAAGATATTTCATGAAAGGGAAGTATACAACTGACAGAAAAAGGTTGACTTGAGCCTGTAAGCTGAAGAAAACTTCTGAGTAGTACTGACCTGTGCTATACACATGCACACTGTCGCTTCTCCCAGTAAGGGAAATGAATTGTGAAGTTGCAAATGCACTTTGTATCACCCGTTCCACTCATTAGCATCAGTGCCCCGAAGGAACTGAGGTCAGGGGAAAGGCCAAAGTTCACACTACCATACCCAGGTTGGCCAGTCTAGGAAGTCTGCCATTCATGTCACTCCAGAGTTGGGCCTGGCCAGAGTAGAAATAGAATAGGGTGTAGGTTACACCTGCTTCCCTTTCCATGCAGATAGACAACACCCTGTGCAGATGGGCCTGGCAGAGGAGCTGGCAGTAACCTAGATTCCAGTGCAACAAAACCTACCTCTAGTCCCAGTTCTGACTTTAATGCTCCCACTGTTCTTTCCCCAGCTCTTTTCAAGTTGCAGTAGATCTGTTTTCTTCAGACCTGCCCCAGTTTGGGGCCAACATGACTTTGATGTGCAGAATTCATGTCTTCTTTCCTAAAGTCTTCTGCATGTCATCGTATAACACCGAGTGTCTGATATCTGGGCATGGGGAGCCCGGAAACCTGTGGGGAGCCAGGGATACTCTCCTGTGATAGCAAGCTCCCTAGGAAAGTTCTCCCTAGAAAATGATGTCAGGGAGGAGCTCAAGTGAGGGACAGAGCTGGAAGGATGCCACCTGTGGAGAGACAGTGGGTTCTGTAGGAGCTGTAGGTGAGTCCTCTTCAGCAGAAAGGCCAGAGGTGCATGTTAGTGGGTTTGATGTGGGCCTCACAGTGAGGCTGGCTGTAGATGTCAAATCCACAGGCGTTAGACCTGGGCGTGTTTCCAGTATGGCTAGTGGGCTAGTTATTTCCAGACTAGCAAATAGTTTCACTACTGGAAAAGGGTGGTCTGGCTTTCCTCTCCTATAGAGCTCAGGACACATATCACACCACTGATATGAGCTGGGGACAGAGGGATGGCACATGAGCCCCATCAGGCTGCATTGCCATCTGACTGTTTGGCTGGAAGAATAGCCTTGAATGTAAGGACTCCAGTCTTCCTGCAAGAAGGGGCATGATAGAAGGCTCACCATGTATAAGGGTCAGAGAAAGTGCCAGTTAGGTCCCTCTGACTCCATGGTGTTTTGGACATAATCTAGGTTGTCACTTAAAACAGCTGAGCCCACTGTCAGTCTCAAATCTGGGACCTCAGGGAGGCCCAGGGGCTTCCTGGGTTACACTTTCCCTACTGTTCTTGGTCTGGCAACAACTACCTCTCTGTGGTGAATTTGATACTTAGAGCATAGTATAGTCCTACTAAAAGCTGGAGCTCAGGTCGCTGGGACTGTGTGGCAGGGGGAAGGAGCTGGGCTTGGGCATTAGACACACTCAGGTCCAAATCTTGGGCCTGCCACCTATTAGCTGTGAGATCTTAGCAGATTACCTCCTGCTATAGACTATTTGTGTCCCCCTAAAATTTGTATGTTAAATCCTAATGCCCAAGTTGATGGTATTTGGAATCGGGGCCCTTGGGAGGTGATTAGGTCATGAGGGCTGAGCCCTGATAAATTGGATTACTGCCCTTATAAAAAAGACCCCACAGAGATCCCTTGCACCTTTTGCCATATGAAGTTACAGTGTAAAGGCAGTCATCTAAGAAGGAGGGCCCTCGCCCAGACACTGAATCTGCTGGTACCTTGATCTTGGACTCCCACCAGCATCCCAAACTGTGAGAAATAAATTTTTGTTACTTATAAGCCACTCAGTTTATGGTATTTGGTTATAATGGACTAAGACACCTCCACTTCTTATTCTGTTCCCTCATCTGTGATCTTGGAGACCAGCACTTCTCCCGCCGTATTGGTGGACCACAGGTGACACATGGTACTTCCCTTCCCCTTTCCAGGGGGCCGGAAGTAGAGCCAGCTCTGCACACAGGGTGTAGACTGGCTCGAACTGCTTCATCTGCTCTCATATGATGACTAATGAAGTCCTGGAGGGAGAACAACAAAAACAAAATTTCATAGAAGTTTCAGCTGGGCTGAGTAGAGCTCAGGGGAGTGTCATTCCCCAGTTTAGGCCTGTGCCTTAAAGAAAGGGTGCCCCCAAGTGGAGGTAGCATCATCAGTGGGAAGAAACACATGGGGCGTAGTGGCAAGGAGGGCTTTGTCTAGCTGCCCCTCCATGGCTGGAACATTCTAGCTCCTCCCTAAGTTAAGCCTTAAGGCTGGGTGGGTGTCTCTCTTAGAGATGGAGGAAAGCCTAGGACCAGTAGTCCAATTTTCTGGGATCAGGTAGGTCTTCTCTGTGGCCAGCAGGTGGCGCTGAGCCCCAGTTCTACAGTCTCCAGGCTCCCTGTCACCAGCAGCTTAAAGTCCGTGAGGGCTGGAAGGTTACTCTGGATGGGGCCCCAAGAGTGGTGCTGCCCAGAGGCACCTCATTAGTGAGTCTGGCCCCTCCCCTTGGCCTTAAGGACAGCCAAGCTGAGTCCCAAGAGCCAGGCCCCTAAAACCCTGGGCTGACTCTGAGTAGCTCTTTACTCTTCTCTCTCTAAACCAGAAGTGGGTCAGCTCTGTAAGGAAGGGAATCAGTGCCGGGAGACTGCGTGGGTGCAGGTAGAGGGCAGCTTAGAGCTCAGACCAGCAGCAGCAACTTCCTGGCCCCGAAGGCCCTGCCTCTGGAGCAGCCTGCGACAGACTCTCATTGGTCTGGCTTAAGTCCTGTCTGCAGGCCTCATACATGTAGCGATAGCCCTGCCTTGTTGTACCATACTTCATCCATCTGTCCATCATTCATTTGTTCATTCATTCAGCACCTACTCAGTGCCAAGCACAGTGCTGAGTCAGACACAGTCCTCCTGATCTCAAGAAGCCACAGGCTTGGGGATGGGGAGACAGACCCATAAACATAGGCAAAAAGAGAATGCCCATAGCATAGAGGAGGGAAGGGACTATCTCCTTCCAGAAAAATCAGGGAAGGCTTCAATGAGGCACCATTTGGCCTGAATTTTTATGGATTTCAAACAGATGTCAATGAGGCCTGGCCAGTCCAGGCAAAGGGAATAACATAAGCAAAGGCTTGGAGGTAGGGAGGTCAATGTTATGTGCAAGGAGGGGATAGTGAGGCAGCCAGGGAAGCAGGTGGGTGGGTGTACGGAGTCCTGGCAAGAGAACGGCAGACTGCAAGGCTGGAGAGGCAGCCAAAGCCTGAAGTGGCTGGCTTAGAAGTCCGGCCTTGCCCCAGAAGCTGATGGGAAACTACTGAAGGTATTTCACAAGGGAGGGAATTCCAACCCCTCTAAGACCACTCTGGTGGTTGCATGACAGAGGGACTGCAGGAGGTGAGATGGAGGCAAGCAGACCAGGCAACGGGTGTCACCACAGCCCCTGTAATCATGGTCTGAGCTGGGACGGGCACTGTGAAGTAAGAAAGACCAGGTGAAGAAACACATCACCGAGGGGAAATGTAAAAGCTCCTTCTCTCAATGTTTGCTTGGTCAGTTTTCTCATGTGGCTAATTCAACAGCAATCACAATAGTTAACATTTATTGAGCACTTATTACAGACCGGGCACGTAAGCATTTTTCATGTTTTTCACTTACTCCCACAACAATTCTGTGAGGTAGGTACTATTAATGCCCCATTTTATAGATGAGGCAGCCAAGACATAGCTTGTTACCTGACCGTATTGTCCTATAGCTAGAGCCAAGATTTAAACCCAGGCATTTGGCTTGAGAGCTCATGCCCCAATCCCTACACTAATGCCTACAACAGCCTTGCCCCTCTCCCTGAGCACCCAGCTTTCCAGCAGAGCCCCGGGAATGGAGGCAGGGCACAGGGCTGTAAAGCCTGCTGGGTGCCCAAAAGTTGAGATGGCTACAGATGCTGGCAGTGTTGGGCCACCTGAGGCAGAAGGGGAAGTGGCCAGCAGGTGGCGCTGAGCTGGGGAGAAGGAGCCAACTGCAGGTCCCTTTCCTGGCCTCCCTGCTAGGGTCCATGGCACCTCCTGAACGTGGGGTGGCAGCTGCCGGCCCCTGCCCTTCCTTTCCACCAGCACGCTCGCTGCCTCCCCAGCAAGAACAGCCCAGAGTTTAGGTCGTGAAGGGGGAGGTTTTATTGACAACGGAGAAGGCAGAATTCTGGGCAAGTACACACAGCACCACTCCAAGAGTCCAGGCTCGAGTCAAGCCGTCAGGACAAAGGGCTTCTTCACTTCAGGGACCTTACCCACCCCCACCATCCTGAACTTTCCAACACCTCTTTTTCCAGCAACCCAAAGACTGTCCTTCCATCCCCCACAGCCACATTTTGGACAAAGTGAGTAGTAGCCACCGGTGAGGAGCCCAGACCAGAGTTTGGTCTCAGGTCCGTCATGTGTGGTGGCCAAAGGAACCCTCTCCTCAGCCTCTCTCTGCCTGGCATGTCAGTGTCTGCCCCAGCCCACCCCATCCCCCTCCCCTTCCCTGGCCTGAGCCTGCCCTGCGAAGGGGAGCCTGCAGCTCCAATCCTCCAGCTGGAATATGCTATCTCAACTGCCCTCCCTGGCTGGCCAGGCCCTCCCCTTAGCCCATCACTTTTTCAGGGAGCAAGGGGGGCTGGGGCCTGACCACAGGTATTTCTTCAGGCCATAGAAACAGCAGCAGACCTCCAACCTGGGGATTGTTCTTCCCTAGCCACCTGCCCAGCTTGTGGCTGGTCAATCATGGAGCCCAGGACTGGCTGGAGACCCAGGTTTAGGGCTCACCACTTACCACAGCCTCCCCTGCCTTGGGTGGGGGTGTTGGGGAGGGAGATGGGCGAGCCAGTCCTGAGCTGGGGCTGAGAGGAGGAGGGACAAAAATAACCTGGTACATGCTCCTGCCGAGGCCAGAAATAGCGTAGTGACAAGTGCCTTGTAACTCCCTGGGTGAGCAGCAGTGGGGAGCTGAGCTGAGGAGGGTCCAGCCTCACACCAGACTCTGGCCAGCTGAGGAGCACACACCCTACATAGCATAGCACACTGCTGGTGTGCACACACCACGTGTGGGGGCCCTGAGGGACCATGGCTTAGGGCAGAGAATCTGGAGAGATGCTAAACTTGGCCTTGGCCTTGGCCATGGCCACACTGCGCTTGCGCAGGGGCCCACGGGCTGAGGCAAGGGTCAGAGCATCCAGCAGGCTGCGGTCCTCATCAAGCTGGCGGGCTGTGCAGAGTGGTGTGGGCACTTTAATGGTGTTACCAAACTTGGAGTAGTCCACAGAGTAGCGTCCATCCTCCTCAGTCACAATAGGGACAAAGCGCTGACCCCACAGGATCTCATCGGCCAGGTAGGAGGTGCGGGCCTGGGTAGTGATGCCCGTGGTTTCTACCACACCTTCCAGAATGACAATGATCTCGAGGTCCTGGTGGTGGTGCAGGTCGCTGGGCGCCAGGTCGTAGAGTGGGCTGTTGGTGTCGATGACATGGTAGATGATGAGGGGGGCCACCAGGAAGATGCTGTTGCCACCCACGCCGTTCTCCATGGGGATGTCCACCTGGTGGAGGGGCACCACCTCGCCTTCAGGGCTGGTGGTCTTGCGCACCACCTGCATGTGGATGGTGGCGCTGATGATCATGCTCTTGCGGAGGTCGCCCACGCGCAGCATGAAGCAAAGGCGGCCGTGGCGCAAGGCAATGACAGCGTGCTTGCTGAAGATGAGAGTCTCTGCCCGCCGGTGGGCCTGGGCGGTCTTCATGAAGATGCAGCCCAGCATGATGGCATTGACCATGAGCCCTACGATGTTCTGCACGATGAGGACCAGGATGGCCAGGGGGCACTCCTCCGTCACCATGCGCCCACCAAAACCAATGGTCACCTGGACCTCGATGGAGAAAAGGAAGGCAGATGAAAAGGAGTGGATGCTGGTGATGCAGGGCACAATGTCACTCTCCCCGGGGGCCAGGTCTCCGTGGGCAAAGGCGATAAGCCACCAGGCCATGGCGAAGAGGAGCCAGCTGCACAGGAAGGACATGGTGAAGATGAGTAGTGTGTGTGGCCACTTGAGGTCCACCAGCGTGGTGAACACGTCCTGCAGGAAGCGGCCCTGCTCCCGGATGTTCTTGTGGGCCACGTTGCAGTTGCCTTTCTTGGACACAAAGCGGGCCCTCCGCTCACGGGCACGGTACCTGGGCTCTGCAGGGTCCTCTGCCAGCCGTGTCAGCACGTACTCCTCAGGGATGATGCCCTTGCGGGACAGCATGGCTCCGGAGACCCCCAGGGAGGGGCTTCCCCCATGCGGGGCACCCCCTAAGCTGGCCTCTCACCCTGGGCCGCCCCCACCAGCCTTCCCCTCACCTCCACCTGGATCCTGCCTCTTGTCTTTATATCAGCTGCCTCACACTTCAGCCCACCTGCCCATTGCTTGGCCAGCCCCCGACCCTGCCTGCTCTCCACCTGGCTCTGGGTCCCAGCCCTGCTGTCCTCCACCAGCTGACCACCCCTGGGCCTCCTCTAAGACCTGTTCTCCCCACCCTTTCCTACTCAACCCACCCCAGAACTATCCAGACCTCACACAACCTCCCCCCGTGTCTCCTGCCTCACCCTTTTCTGCCCCCAGCTCCCCTCCAAGCTCCAGCTTCACGTCCTGACCACTCCCAGCCTCCCCTCCAGGTATGCCCCCTATCTGTTACCCCACCCGGCCAGTAGCGCCCCCGCCGCTCTTCGGATCCCTCTCCAGCTCTCGTCCTCTCTGTCTCCTTGGGATCCTGCGCCCTCCGGAGTCACCACCCCACCCGGCTCAACTCCGAATCCCCTCGCCCCCCGCGCGACCTGGCCGGGCTCGCTCCGGTCTCGGCCTCCCGGCTCCGCGCCGGCCGCACGCGCCCCGGCGCCAAGGCCCCCGCCCGCCGCTCCGTCCCTGCCCCTCCCGCTCGTCGCCGCTGCACCTGCTCCTGCTCCTCAAGCCGCAGCCGTCGCCTCCCCGCCCCCTCCTGCCGCCCGGCTGCTCGCGGCTGGCGGTCCTCCGGTCCGTCCGTCGGACTGCGGGTCCGCGGAGATCGACCGGTGCAAGGTGGGGGTAGAAGACTGCGGGCGGGGGGCGCCCGAGGAGCGGAGTGGGGGCCGGGGGCCGCCAGGGGGAGCCCGACCTGTTCCTGAGCAGGACGGGGGAGGGCACAGGCGCAAACCCCGCCCCTCGCCGTCTCTTCCCGGCTCCCCCTTTCCTGCTTGGGACTCAGAGTCTGGCCTTGGTGGGTTGTCCAATCGGATGGACTCAAAGAGGTTCCTTCTGTCCCCACTCTGAAATTGGGACGGGGGGAGGGAGCTGGGTCCTGCCCTCCCGGTCAAAGGGACCGAAGCCCCTGTCGCCCTGCCTCCCCTCCTCCATTTTTCCCATCCGCAGTTGGGGCAATATTAGCCTCTGGAGCAGCACTGGGATTTGCGGGTTCCCAGGGAAAGGAGGTACCAAGAGGCGCCGCCACCAATCCGGGGGTTAGGGGAGATTAGGTGGCCTGAGGACTTCTCAGCTGACCGCTTCTTCCCTTTGGGGGATGCTCTTAGTCCTTTCTCAGTCTTGGATCCTTTGAGAATATGCTGAAAGCTCAGACTTCTTTCCTATTTTTTTTTTTTTTTTTTTGTTTGTCTTAAGTACCATAGTAGGTGTAGGAGCACAGTTTAACATCTACTGCAGGGAATGTTGGGTGCTGCAGCCCAGAAGCCTGGCAGCTCCATCTACTCAGTCATGACCAGCCCCAGCCCCACCTCTGCATTTTAAAGAGGGGCTGAGCTCCTGGCACTTGCTTTACACTTCCTCACACCTGTAGCCTGATTTCTTCCACCTCAGGTAATGGGAGGTATCTGGGTCTGAGTGGCTGTATTAGGGCTGGTTTGGGCACTGGGAGAGTCAGGCTCTTGGCCTGGACATGGGTGGTGTTTCTGTTGTAGGCATCAAACTAGGGTTGCTGTGTTGCTTGGCCCCCAAGTTCTCAGCTGGGAGGGAAAGCCTGCTAGGTCTCTGTTATTGGAACAGTAATGGCTTCACCCCTTCTCTGGGGCTCAGATCCTTATGGAGGAACCCCTGATCCATATGTGACCATTTGTTGGACTGGGGGCTTGAGGAAGGGACTAGAAAGATAGGATCAGTGGGGATGTAGGCCACAGTGGGGCGGGGCATGAATTCCATATTGAGTTTTCCTCTTTCTCTCGCATAACCACCTGTAGGCTGAGTGAACACTGCTACAAAGGGTACGTGTGATCTTGGGCCATATTAACAGAGGTACAGTGCCTATGGTGGGGTGGGGAAAACAGGACGACTAGAGTGGGAAGCTCAGGAAGACGGGATTTCCTGGGAAACCTCTGAGGCAACTACAGCTGTTCAGCCATCAGAAAAGGACGCTTGAAGAACCCCCAGGAAATTTGGGTACCATCGCAGAAACCCCTGGGGATGAAGGAGGATGGACAAGTAGTTTTGCATAGCCCAAAGGCTAGAACCAGGACACTGAGAACAGAGGCAGGGTTTGATTTCACATATGAGAGTCAGTTCTAGTAACAATAACCTGAAATGACCCACATCTGTGGGGTATCCAAGTCCGGTCAGGGTTGGTGGACCATCAGGGATGCTATAGAGGGATTTGGGCCAGGATGGCCTTGGGCATCCCTGTAAGACTTCACTGTAGGCCCTGCCCTGCCCCTTCTGCTTCCCTTCAATCCCTTGGAGTGTGGTGGGCTTGTGGAGGGTGTGGGTGGGGGGTAGAGTCCTCTTCTCTCACCCCTGGCTCTGCTCCTGGGAGACTCCACAGGGGAGACAGATGCTGGACCTCCAGAGGCATCTCAGAGCTGGAAAGGCCAGACTCTGCCTCACGGTGTGGCCCTGAGGCCTTAGTTACACCCTGCTCCTCCCTTCCAGGAGCATGAGTACCCTACCCAAACGTCTCAGCCTCTTGCTCCGCTCCATCCTGCACTTGCTCATACTCATGTCCCCCAAACACTGCATTGTCAGGTCTCTTTCTTGCTCAAAAACCTTCTCCACTTTCCTTTTACCCATAGGCTTATCCCACACTCCTCATCCTGGTGCTTGAGGCTCTCTGATCTGATACCCTCCCTGCTGCCCTCATCTCCTTCCCCCTCCCTGACCAACCAACACTCCTAACTCACTTCCACTATCACTTTTTAGCTTCCACTGCCCCCTCACCCCATCCTTTTCTCTAACTCCCTGCCTGTTCAATTCCTACCCCTCCCATGCCCAGCTCAAATCCTGCCTTTCCCAGGCAGCCTGCCCAACTTCACAGAGCTCTCCCTTTATGAGTTTCTCTGGCTCCTGGAACATCCAGAAGGGTCTGTGCTGGGCTCCCCTCCAATAACTGGTGAGTTTCCCTTATGTTGTGTGGCTCTGACCCCCTTGCAGCCAAGAGTAACTCAGGCCCCAGACTCCTACTTTGCACCATAGGGCCTGGTACAGCCAGTACTGCAAGCAATATGTAAATGATAATAAAATGACATGTAAATGAGCACCTGCCATTTCTTGGCTGATGGCAAGTGTGTACTCCTGTTTTGTGATGCAGATGGAGTCAGGACAGCTGTTGTTTTGATCTCCCTGGTGTCTGGGTCCCATCATCTCCCAGCCACCACCTGCCCGACTTGTGGCACATGCACTGTGCTTTCTCTCTGAAGGACCACGCTTCTCCCACTTCTGAATGCCTCTGCCTGGGGGACAGAGATGGTGACATGTGGTCCAGGCATAGCCACTCAGTACATTCCAGCCCTCTGACTACAGTGATTGGGTGGGGGTGGAGATGTGATCCAGGTTGCTCCATGGAGATTTGCTCCTGAGACTTTTGCTGGAACTATTGGTCAAGAGCATCTCTTTTTCCTCTTGGGTTGCCCTGGGGCAGGATGTAAGCTGGAGCTGCTAGTGGCCATCTGTCATCAGGAAGAGAGGAAAATGGAACCCAGAAATGGAGACCCTTCCCTGATGTCAAACACCTGGATCCAGCCATGCTTGAAGTAGTATACTTCTGGCCTTTTTAGTCACATACCACAATAAATTAAAGTTTTGGTTTAATTTATTAAACCAAAAATTTATTAAAGTGGCAAAACCGCTTTGAGTTGGGTTCCTGTCATTAGTAATAGTGCTAATCAAGAGTATCTAGGCCCCACAATTTAAATCAAGAATGAAAGTGAGAAGGAAGGGGACCAGGTTGCATGGAGATCTTATCTGATGAGGTCATCATGGAAACACTATCACCCTTGTTATGGACTGACTTATGTGTCTCCCCCCCCCACACCCCCGATTCACATGCCGAAGCCCTAACCCCCAATGTAACTGCATTTGGAGATAGGGCCTGTGAGGAGATAATTAAAACTCAATGAAGGTATGGGGTGGAGCTCTAATCCAATATACTGGTGTTCTTATAAGAAGAGTGTGGGGGGGACACCAGGGATTCATGTGCGTGGAGGGAAGACCATGTGAGGACACAGTGAGAAGGTAGTTGTCTATAAGCTGAGGAGAGAGGCCTCAGGAGAAACCAATCCTGCCAACACCTTAATCTTGGACTCCAGCCTCCAGAACTGTGAGTAATAAATGTCTGTTGTTAAAGCCTCCTAGTCTGTAGTATTTTGTTATGGCAGCCCAAGCTGACCACTACGGCCTTCATTTCATGGACAAAGAACATGCTTTTGCCCACACTCACACAGCTTCTTCAGGAATGCCCAATGCCAAGGACAAGCTGGCGCCACTGCACCCACAGTCCACTGCCAGCCCCTGCCCACCAGACCCAGGCCCTCCGGTAGGAAATAATCTCTTTATTTACAAGTGATTTACAGTTAGAAAACCCAGACAGGGGTAGGAGCCAGTGGGGATATGGGACGGCACTTGGGCTCTGGTAGGTCACTTGTCTGCATGGACGAAGGAGGCGAAGACGCTGTCCTTCTGGCTAAGCAGCTTCTCTGGCTTGTCAAACTCAAGGATGGCACCTCGCTTCAGGACAATCACCAGGTCTGCACTCAGGATGGTGTGCACACGATGCTAGGCGGGTGGAAGGGGCTGGTCAGGGAGGTGGGTGGGGAAGGGGTGGGGAAGCTGAGGGAGTCCCTCCTGCAGCTTGGGGGAGGAGGAGGTATGTGGTCAGAATGCCCTATCTATGGTGATCATCTTTTCCTTAGGGTGACTGTGACTCCAAGCCCTCTCCCACTAATACTGCCCTTCTCGCCTCACCAAATCTCAGCTCTGCTTCTACTTCCAGGGTTTGAGACTTGGAGACCCCCTTTCCACCCCTTTACCACCCACTTCCTATGGAGAAGTAACCCCAGCCTCGCTCACAGGGCTGTGGGACAGGGGTGGACCTTGGAACCTGGAGAAAGAGAAGGGAGGTCTGAGGGAAGTGCAGGTGCAAACC